GATTTCTCGTCGTAGGAACCATTTTCAAAATAGACATTTATATACCATTCGATAGCCCTTTGAAAGGGCTACATTTTCCACTATTTGTATTTGAATTAGGAGCAACTTCGATTTTTCACCTAATTTCTGCCTGAATGCCCACTGTGGGTAACTGTCGAGCATGTGCTCAGCAGTTACCGTTACCGAGTAACGGCAGTAACTGTAACTGGTAATTGTCACAGCCCTACTGTAGAAATAGTCTAAGTACTACTTATACACTTCTAACTTCGTTAAACACATGCTCTACAGTTACCGTTACCGTTACCAGGAACGGTAATCGACCAATAGTTACAGTTACTGTAACGATAATGGTAACTGTCATAACCCTAGTTCTCACTCTTGCTACCCTTTTTTAGCGGAAATAGTAGCAGAAGAAAAAGTTCAAGTCGAAAAAAATTTTGAGTTTCAAAAAATTTTCATTTTTTTTCGACTTTCATCTAATTGGTTTAGTTTTCTTGATTGAAGTTCTGAAATTAGAGTTTAGGTTTGATTTTGTAGAGTATTTTCCAGCACATCTCTTTAAACCAAGTTATAAGCAAAATACTGAGAGACTCATTTATTCTGGAACATCCGTTATTCTATTTTATTTATTTTCTATTTTATTTAGATAAATTGGTAATGATGTTACGTTGGATACGTTCATATTGTTGGTCACTTGAAAATTTAAATAAATATGTTTTATTTATTGATGATGATTATTTACTTAATTTAGATAATCTTTTAAATTATTTATATTCAATTGATAATACAAAATTGAGTGTACATGAACGACGAACATTTATTTCAGGTTATTTATATGATTCAAGTCGTCCAAGACGATTTATTAATGATCGATGGTATATTTCGTATGATGATTATCCGTATGATAAATATCCACCCTATTTAACAGCTGGATGTTTTCTAATGTCACTTTATAGTGTCAAATTATTCTATTTATGTGAGAATTTTTTGATTTTTAATTTGATTTTAAGTGTTAGATATAACCGGATGACCGACCCATAAAGAACTGCGCTGTTAGTATTTTTCAAATTTTCACCTCCTTCTTACACTTAATTGAGCTAGTTTTTTAACCAAAAGATTCCCCGTTGAATTCTCTACAAAAAAATGTATTGACTACTTTATTGCAAAATCCGAAGATGCAAAATGGTATGAGAAAACGTGAGAAATACAAAAATGTGGAAAAAATAAACGTATTTTCTCAAATGCATTGAAATTTTTTTGAATAGTTTCACAAGCGTTAAAACAGGGTTTCAGCATATTTTTGTGTAGTTATCGAAAATCGTTTGAATCTTAGTATCCGACGCAAAGATTAACTTCTCAGCAATCACGTGAAAATCGTAAAAGTTGTTACCTTTTTTTTGCGCGATGGAACAACAAATCTTAGAGATCATAACGACTAATCATTCATTTTCAAAATTAAAAAATCAACCTGAATGAATTCAATTGGGAATCTTTTGGTAAAAAAACTAATTCAATCAAGTGTAAGAAGGAGGAGAAAATTTGAAAATACACCACCATCACCGAGTTAGAATTAAATTTTAAATAGAATGGAGATTATATAATTTCTAGCTCGTTTCAGTTAAAGAATCTCACAGTATAAAAGTTATACAGAGCCAGTTTTTCATAGTTTCAAGTAGGTCCGACGCACGATCCATTTTACATCTGACTTTCAATAAATCATTTTGTTGGACATTGAGTTCTAAGGATATAAGTTCGATTAGATCTTTGATTGACGAGGTTGTCATCCAACATTTGTTGATCTTTATAAGAAACGTTCTTTTTCTTCGGTTAATTTAAGAGTCATAGAAACGTAACTGACCCAAGATACAGAAGTCAAGTTTAAAGTAAAATCAGTGGCGTCTATCCCCACCTGAATATGAGGCATTTTGTACCACCTTCAAGACTCGATCTTTCAATGTACCACCTGAAAAATGAATTTCTACAGTAATTTTACTTTTGTTTGAAGCATTGCGCTTCAAACGCCCTGAAGTAAAACACTTTGAGTTCAGATCGGCATGGCTAATTTGATTAGATATTGTCGTAAAACTCGTGTATGACTGTGATAAACGAAAAAAAATCTATTTTTTTAATGATTTGTGGACTCAAGTTTGGATGGGGTTAGGTGCGCCATTATTTCCACTAGTAGGTATTTTTATTTAAAAAAATTGAATCTATAACGTAAAAACTTATTTTTGACGAAAACCCATCATTTAGGCGATTTGTTTTTATCAGAGTATACTTTTATAGGATGAGAAAATTCTTCTTCTTGAATAAGAGACGATATGATTCAGTTTTCAATGTTGATCACTAATCTGATGACTGTCATTTTCAATAAAAATATCTATCAGTTGATCGATAATGACTCATTACCACTAGAGTTTTGCAGATTCGGAGTCAGGATCCTGAAAATTATTTTAAGGGTTCGGGTTCGGGACAAATTTGAGTTCATCCGAACGAGATGGACATCCGGTTTCTTCTCGATTCTTCTAGTTTGATATAGGAAGAAGATCAGAGACAGTTCTAAATGAATAAGAGAATGTTGTTTCCTTTTAGTTCCAAATAGTAGCTCCAAGGAGACAGGATCCATTCGAACTGACGTAGATAGTCTCTTCTTGGAGCTAAAAGGAAACAATGATAAAAGAATAATGAAAAGTACAGTAAAACCTCTATCAGTGGACACCTGTAAAGTGATCACCTTACGAGGGAACGTTCTTAAGTGCTCCCTCGCTTTTTCAACGAAACCTAGTGGGTTACAGGTTATCGATGGTGCTGATTCCGAATATGAATATGAGAGCTGCTCTTAGAGCTTCGAAGACTCGGTTTTCTGGAAAACCAGTTTTTCAGAAACTCTGAAAAACAACCAAAGCTTTTCTTGATGAGCCATGATTGTAGCCCGCATATTTCTGATTAAAATGAGACATCTCCCACCTCTACACGATCTTTCTTTGCAAAGTTAGAGAATTTACAAGAAAAGCCCTAAATGTTCATTGTCAGCTCACAGCCACAGACATAAAAAGAAATTAATTTAGGGCTTTTCTTGTAAATTCTATAACTTTGCAAAGAAAGGTCATGTAGAGCTCGGAGAGGTCTCATTTTAATCAGAAATATGCAGGCTACAATCATGGCTCATCAAGAAAAGCTTTGGTTGTTTTTCCAGAAAACCGGGTCTTCGAAGCCCTAAGAGCAGCTCTCATATTCATATTCGGAATCAGCACCATCGATAACCTGTAACCCACTAGGTTTCGTTGAAAAAGCGAGGGAGCACTTAAGAACGTTCCCTCGTCAGTGAATACGCTCTCAGGTCCGACGGAGCGATTTTTCTGAAAATGCACCTCTCTAATGTGAACACACATGCAACATTTCCCTCTCTTTCTCTGTTTCTCTTTCTACTGTTTAGCATCTGTACTGATGCTAACTACGCTTTATATACTAAAACTGACTACTCTACGTATGAAAAAAAGAATTATATCACGATACGAGCTCACTTTAAAAGATGAACAATATAATTAATTCAGGACTAGTGTAGAAGCAAACATTCTAGAACTTTTTTTTATTTCCCAGTAAAACATGCATCATCTCTCGAAACTGAACACCTCCCTATAGTGCTATAGTGAGAGCGTGTGCACCTCAATGGTGCAAGAACAACAACATCAAAATACGCAAAGTGAAATGAAAACAAATTCTAACTGTCACTCTTGGTGAAATGACGATCACAATCTAAGCCAGATACGTTTGGAGGATTGTGGTCTGATGAATGACCTTGAATCGATAGCAGAATGTGAACGAACAGCTCCAGAGGCCAAAGAACAGTAAATATTTTTTATTTTTTGTCTCACCCTACACCGAAAGGTATCTGGGTATACTTACTTACTACTTACTATAGTGAACGGTTTTGAAAAGTCCCGATGGTGTTCACAATAGAGAGATTTTACTGTAAGCGAAATAGACAGCTGTCATACAGCCAACCAATTGAATTTTACTATTCTACTTCTACTAATAGAGTTTTACTAATTTTCAAATGAAAGAGAGCGATATTTTACTGGAAAATGTTTTTCGGCAGGTTTAGTTTTGAAAAAATCGCAACCCCGAAAAAAGTCTTGCGGTTTCGGATTCGGGACAAGTTTTAAGTCTATCATCAAATAAAAAATGTTCTTTCGCATTCATTTCATTCGTACACAGCTGGTGTTCATGCTCAACAAAATTGTCTTATTACAAAGTCAAATGTAAAATAGTTTATGAACGGATCTGCTTAAAACTATCCAAAACGTTATAGAAATGAATCAATTTGTTTTAAAATATATTTCATTTTTATTTTTTTATCTCTTTCTAGCATCATTATACACAAAAATATTTCGTTTTGATGATATTTATATGGGTTTATTAGCGTATTCAATGAAAATAAAATTACGTCATAATGAATTATTTTCTTCATATGCTTCATCAACATCTGGCAATGATACTGAATCACTGATATCAAAATTAAAATCATTTCTTACCGTTGAAGATACTGAACAAATGTCAAAATTAAGTCAAACAATTTGTTCACACGGTTATAGAGATGAAAATCTTGTACATCTATGGAACTATTTATATAAAACAAATGTGACATTAAATAAATAGTTATAAATTATTTTTATATATGTTACATATATTTTATTTTATTTAGCTTTAAAGTTATAGTTAAACCATTGTGCAATCCTTTCAATTTTATTTCGGCACCGAATTCAATAAGTAAGAGCGACATGTTCTCCATCACGTCAGTCCGTAGTAACAGCACTCCAATATAGTCGGGTCGCCCTCGTTAGCCCCACGCGAAAATA